GTAGGCCGTCAGCACGAGGAATTCTAAAACCAAAGCCATAGCCTGCCGGAAGGGAAAAATCAGAGAGCAAACTAAGAGGAGAGCCGTCGACAAAAAACAAGGCGGACAGAGGAGAGAGTGCGGTCTACACAGGGAGACATCCATCCACCACCGCGACCCCTACAACACCGCTGAGCCTGCTGTCAAATGAGGAGCAAGCACCGAAAAACCATCCGATAGCCGCTACAACTGAAAAGGCAGCCAAGAGATCTAAAGCAAAAACAAGAAAAGGAAAGAGATCTGGCGCCCGCGCTTAAGGAGCCAACGCCGGAAAAAGAGAGATCTGGAAGAAGAAACCCTAGCCGCAGAAGTCGACAGCAAGGAGAGCAAGGAGAAAGAATTTTTTTCCTACTTTGTCAACGCTAAACGAATTATCGTGTGGCTGAGAACACCCAGCCAAGTGTTTTCTGATAATTAAAACTGATAGTTTGCTGTGCGTGGTTTTATTTACTTCAAACTTCAGAGTTCAGAATCAACATATGCATTTACTCAGCACACCCTGAAAAGTCTTTAGAAAAGTTTAATGGATCTCGAGTTTGAACGACAGGTTACCGGAAAAAAAAGCAATTAATCACATGCACGTTGCACGAGACTAATATCATAAGTTGTTGGAAAGGAAAGGAAAGGACAAGCCACCAGGTTTTTTGGGAGAACAAAAAGACTTAGTGAAAGACCTTTTTTAACTAAATATTTACTAGAAGTTAACAAACAGGAAAAGAAATTACTCTATAAAGAAACTACAGGAAAATGCATTGGGTATCTATCCCAATGGCTTTTTCATGACACCCCAACAATGTTCGTGTGGTATTCTATAAAGAAACAAAAACAAAAAACAATAAATAAAAACAAAAACAAAAACAAAACAAAAAATGTTGACAATTTTTGGCAAGTGGGGTTGCCCTTAAATGTGAATAGTCAGTTTCTTTTGTCACATGAACACTCTCTCAGGTCGGCGAAATATAAAATTCATCTGCAACAAATTCATTAATAAAATGGGGTAATAATTACTCCAAAATGCATTCATGTATATCTATCACTTAATGTATTTAACTGAAGGTTGTCGTTTTCGCTATACAAAACAAAGGGATCGATCGATAGAACCCAAAAAATAAACAAAAATATGGATTGGTAGTTGGATGGGGTTTAGATTCAAGCCGACGCAACCTCTTTTATTTGTTGATTTAATATATCGCAAATATATCATAATACTACACAATTTATGCCAACTTTCACTTAATTTTTTCGAGAAGGAAAGTAATAATTCTAGAGAAATTTACACTCTTTGGCACTTTATGAGTATTCTATTTACATGTTTTAGCTCTTTCATTTTAACTAGCACTTTCTTCTAAATTATAGACATAAAATGACCATAAACTCCTTATTGAGAAATGAGTTTTCAAAAATCAAAACCGGTTATATGCTTTGCAAACCAATAGTTGGTTTGTTAACAATTTTAGAAAAGAAAAAAAAGAATAAAAATATCTAGCTTTCTCTGTCTCAGATCTTTCTTCTTCCTCTTCTTCATTTTGTTTTTTTCTTATGAACCCTAGAGACTCTTCAATCAAAATGGTTGCAGTCTTCAGAATTTGGTTTGTTCTTTATTCTTCCTCCTTACACCACATCTTATCGTGATTTCTCTCTTTCATTTTTTTTTATCATCAAATGCGGTCGCAAACTTTTTCAACTGCCACCACACCACCGCCACCCCTCTCCCCCTCAAACGACCACTGTTATCTATATTGTCGTGTCTGCTGTTGTCCATGTCGTTGTCTATGCCGTAGTCCAAAGTCTCTCCGTCGTCCGCCGTTGTGCATGCGAAAAAAGCGATGACCCCTGCAACCACGTCTTCTTCCTCCACTGATGGATGCAAAGTTTATATAGTATCCACACAAACAAATGCAATATATTTTAAACGTTTCTATCAATGTAGCTGTATCCATGTGGACATGGACAGGTTTCCATCGCGGCGGTTATGTCTCAGTGATTGTTTTTCTCTCGTGTGGACTTAACTGGACGCCATGTGGCCACAACCATACCCAAATTATAAATGTAACAAATGGAGGTTCTATATCCACCCTCGACCATGACTTAGCATCTACGGGTTTCAAGTAATATGGTCATTTGGTAACATATATCTATAAATTTGTAATGGTCATATCCATATTCGTTATGAACCCAATAAACATCCATGTCTCAGCATCTTGGAGTTTCAAGTATCATGGTCATAGTATCATTATCCACATTTGTAATGGCTATATCCATATAATGGGTATGGACATATTTCATATTTATTTAGCATGACTCTGTATCCATAATAACAATGGATACATCCACATAGTCTCTGTCTTACTACATAGACCTCTACTAACGATTTTAGACCCATTATCTATGGATGCGTCCACATTCACACTAACTCGTCTTCAAATAAAATACTTAGTCTCATCTTCCATTCTTCTATGGTTATATCCATATTTTATAAGTATAGCTTCTCATTTTCTTTTACATACACAGCGAAACTTTTTTCAAATACTTACACACCCATTATTATCAAGGCGTCCACACTCACTTTAGTTCTTTTGATATAATATACTTAGCATCTTCATCCACGCTTGTATTTAAATATAGTTACTCATATGGTTATATCTATGTTCACACTTGTATGGTTATATCCACGTTCACGGCTGCTCGCATTTGGTAACATCCACGTCACGTGGATAACACAATCGGTTTTACTGTTCAACTTCGTCATGTCCGCCAGTCGATGAAGGTGCTTCGAAGAAAACTCCAACTTGTTTTACTGTTCATCTTCGTCTTCGTAAAGGCTTAAACTGTTCAGCATCTCTCCAACTATAATCGTCTTTTGTTAACTATCGGCTACAAACACCACCGCAGAAAACATATATCGGAAAGATCAATTGCTCCAAAAAAGTATTGACACATAACAAATATCAGAACCAGTAGACGAAGTGACAAATGGCGGTCGGAAGGGATCAGAAAACATACGTTCACGATTGAATCTGAGAAGGTAAAGAGAGAAAGCTGTTTGCAACATGGATCTAAAAAGTTGAGAGAGAGAGAGAATTGTCCACAAGAGTTACGAAGGAAAGAAGGAGAGAGAAGTAAGAATAGTTATGATAGTTTTCTAAACCATCAAATTCGGTTAAATCACTTAATTTAAACCGGTCTTCAAGATCAGTATATTGGAAGGAGGGACTAAATTGGGTTTTTGCATATGTAAACTAATTAAAAGTACCATCAGATTAAGAAGTACCAAATTTTGTAAATATAAACTCGAAAAGTACCTAAACGTGTAAACGCCTCATAATTCTAAGCGAATATTTTTTTTTTTTCTTTTTAAAAGGTGAAACAAGTTGACACAACCATTAGGAGTAGTACATAACTGCATGCATAATGTGACACACTTCTCTTTTCCAGCTCTTTAAAGAAACTAAAATAGAAGAAAAAAAAACTTCTACACGATTCTAGACTATTAGATTCTTTTTATAATATAATCAAAAGAATATTTTACAGTCATTAAGAAAATTACCGTCGTACAATGTTTACCACTCTATCATATAGTGGTTGTCATTTTTTTGCTGGCATATTAACTACTAAAAATTATGAGAACAGTTACATAAACAAGTTCATAAACTAACTTACCAATTTGAAGAGCTTCATCGAAAGTGAAAATGGTCCAAAAGTAATTAAAAGATAGAAAAGGAGAATCAAATGACAGATTGGCCATAAATTGAAACAATAAAAGATCCTGATATGCGTTATGCAACAATATTTTCTTTGTAGCATTCAGTCAAAAAAATCTCAAACTTTCCTGCAAAAAAAAACACGAATTATCAGCTTAGCCAAATAAATACTCAACTTTTGTTGACTTCCATAAATAATAATAAACTTTTCATTGACTTGCCAAATCAGCACACCGTTTATAAAGTTAACAGAAAATTTAAACGCCGTTAACTCCGACGTCGTTTTAAAATTCTGCGATTTTAAAAATTTTTGCTTCCACCTAACTTCGAACACAAGACTTCGGACGCATAAAGGATACTTCTGCCACTGGGCCAACACTTTCAAACATATAGGTCATACAATTGTTTTTATTACTTATTTTGCTCAATTTGTTTTTTAAATTCGCGATTTTAAAATGTTTTGCTTCCACCAGAGTTTCGAACTCTTAACATAGGAAAGAGAGAGGGGACTTCTACCGCTGAGACAAAGACACTTTTGGACAAAAAGGCAATCCATTTGCTTTTATTACTCAATTTAAAAAGCAAATGGATTGCAATTTAATGTGTTTGGTTTAGGAGAAAATGAGTAATAAAAGCAAATGGATTGCAATTTAAAATAAAAAATAAAAAATGTGTTTGGTTTAGGAAAAAGTGAGTAATAAAAGCAAATGGATTGCAATTTAAAAAACAAAACAGAAAAAAATTAAAATCACAATTTTTTATAAAAAAAAAGGTGAAAATGAGTAATAAAAGCAAATAGATTGTCTTTTTGTCCAAAAGTGTCTTTGGCTCAGTGGTAGAAGTCCCCTCTTTCTTTCCTATGTTAAGAGTTCGAACCTGGTGGAAGCAAAACATTTTAAAATCGTGAATTTTATAAAAAAAATCGGGCAAAATAAGTAATAAGAACAATTGTATGACCTATATGTTTGAAAGTGTCACTGGCCTAGTGGCAGAGTATCCTTTATGTGTCCGAAGTCGTGTGTTCGAACCCAGGTGGAAGCATTAACCCCAACAGTAACATCAGAATTAACGGCGTGTGCTGATTTGGCAAGTCAACGAAAAGTTTGTTATTAGTCAACAAAAGTTAGGTATTTATTTGGTTAGACTGAAAATTCGTACTTTTTTTGGCAAAAAACAGAAAGTTTGGGATTTTCTTGGCCGAATTCTCTATAAATAATTCTTTCAATAGTTTAAAATAAAACTGGCAAACTAAGTAATAATCTAAGCAGCGGCGACAACTCCGAGTTTCTGAAGATTGAGATTGACAACAGTATCCACAAACATTTTGGTGTCCTCTACTGTGTTACCCTCGGGAATATCAACGGTGTATGATTCAAGAACCACCGTGTAGACCTTGTCGGAATCTTGATTTAAGAACTCGTTGACCGAGGTCACCGATTTGTAGTTGTTAAGCCGGTGCTCTCCGCCAACAACCCTGAAGCTCAGGACACGGTGGTCGTCGTCCAGAAACTCGAGCCGCTCGGTGCTTGTGGAGGCTGGTAGACCGGAGATTACAATTAACTTCCCGGACGCTTCTGACGCCGCCATCGCCAGAGACTAGGCGGCAGCTCTTGATGAAGTGTTTATAGCATTGTGGGTTGTCGAAGCTCTGGATGAGAGGCCAAACCACGGAGGCTGGGGCGTCGATACGATGGGTTATGAGAGAGGTGCAAGTGGTTGGTTCTGGTTCGAATTGGTGGTAAGTTTTGATAACCAGTTCGAGGGTTTTTTGCTCCTCGTCAGTTAGGCCTCTCACGACCGGGGAAGAACTCATGGTAATGAGATCACAGTACGTGTGTCTGTGTGTGAGAGAATGGGGTTCGATGAGAGAGAGAGAGAGAGAGAATTAGGGTTCGATGTATGTGTGTGTGTGTGTGTAAGAGAGAGAGAGAGAGAGAGAGAGAGAGAGAGAGAGAGAGAGAGAGAGAGAGAGAGAGAGAGAGAGAGAGAGAGAGAGAGTCTTGTCTGAGATTGGGGGATTGGTGAAATAGATGAGAATAAAAGACAGTTATATTTTTGGGAGCTATTGGCCTTTTTAATATATTAATTCAAGAGACAATTTGCTATATAGACTAAGACCCGGTCAAAATTTGCCAATAAGGTAAAACAGTGTTTTAGATGAAAATTTTGAATTCCAAATTGTGGCAGATTACGAAAAGAACCATCGAGCTAACCTTTTCTATTTTGCTAATTGTATTTTTGATTTAATTTAAATGACGGAAGAAAAGATAATATCGACTTCTATATGTTCCTGTAGATAGTGTAGGTCTGCTTGTAGGCATTTGAGAACCACAAAATATAACAGCTCTGGAATTTCTCTCTCATCAATTTTTTTTATTTAACATATAAGTTATACAATTACATAACTTCTTATCAAACTACATACTTTGTTAGCATGGTAAGTTTCTGTATTCTTGAAACAAAAATGATTTTTGTATTCTTTGACACCTCTGAGTTGCTATATTTGATTCGATTATTGATTATATCAGAACTCATTAACATATACATTATACAGTTATATTAAACGTTATCAGTCTAAGTAATTATATTCATGTGTATGCATTTACTTAACATATAAGTTATACAACTACATAATTTTTTATCAAACTACATACTTTGTTAGTATGGTAAGTTTCTGCATTATTTTAAAAAAGGATTGCTGCATTCTTTGACACTTGTATATTTGGTTTGATAACTGATTATATCAGACCCCATTAACATATACGTTATAGAGATACATGAAACGTTAGTAGTGTAAATAATTCTTTAGCGCGCTGCTTTTATCTGATATACGTTAACATATAAGTTATACAATTACTTTACATATTATAAAGCTATATAATTTGTTAGCGTGCTTAATTTCAGTTGCTATAATTGGCTTATCGAGTATTAATTTAAATTTATATGTGTAATAATATAGTTAACATGTTAAGTGGAATATTAGAGATATATCAAAACATTTATATGGTATAGTAAATGAATTGTAATCATCTGTAAAATATATTAGCAATCTAACACTCAATTTAGAAACCTAATTCCAAATTCAAAAATAATTTAGAGTGAGTACAGCTTTTGGATTGAAAGATAACCAGCTATATATTAATTATCCAGCTATATATTATTTGATATGTTAAAACATTTGTTAGATGGTATAAACATTTGTTGATTGTTAACTTTCAAATTAACATTTTTGAGTACGGTTCGGGCCAGTACGGTTTTTGAGTGACGAAGTTTTTTTTCTTCTTTTTATGAGTGACCTTCCCACATTCGAGACCAGTAACTAAGGCGAACTCCCGTAGTGAAAATCTGATCGGTCGATCAGCGAACAAGAACCACAAATCGTACTTCCTCTTCACTCGCAATAGCCTAGCTAACATATAGAATCCAAAGCTACCGGAGAACGACGGTTGCTCTATTGTCGCAACTAGTTTTCCCAATTGGGAATCCTGTAATCTCTGAACTTCGTCAGCATCAAGCGCATTAAGAATCGCCTGAACAACTTTTGATTTCTGGTAAGTGTTAACTCTCTCTCCAATTGGCTCTTGGCCTGCGGCAAAAAATCTTTCGGGAAGCCTAATAATTGATATGAGCTCGAGATTCACTGAAAAGGAAGAAGACATAATCAAAAAATGGAACCCTGTGCAGATGTGAATTTCGAAATCGACAAAATAAGAAAATTAAAGAGAGAATTTACCAGATATGGGAGATAGTTAGTGGGAGGTTGCAGAATCGCAATGGAAAGTAGAAACCGTTCTTTGGATTTTTGTAATTTGAATAACCCGTCTAAGATATTGTTTGACCTAAACGTTTAGATGAAACCAGATATATTCGGTGCTGTAGTACAATATCGACGATATTAACAAGACTGAGGCATATTAAGCTATATTAAAAAATAATGAAAAATAGAATACTATCTTCTCGTTTGCTTAAAAAATTAATAATTCTGACACACAATCTCTTCTAGGATATGCATGATATTCGCTAGTATGCTCGGGAAAGTAGGGGTGGTAATGTATTAAAAAAAATAGCACAGTGTTTGAATAGTAGACTTTCCTTATTAGCAAATATTGAACAGTTCTAAGTATATATCGCACATTTTCTTTTAACTCAAATCTCAAATCCATTGCTGCTTTTCTATGAACGGATCTATCCCTTTGTACTTATTTATTGTTTACCAAGTATAAAGACCATACATATATAATACTAACTTAAAAATAAACAGAACCTAATAATGTATATATTAATTCGAGAAGTTGTGGAAGAATTATTAATGTTTCTACAAAAAGAAATATTGAGTTTAATTTTCAAACATGCAAATCAATGGAAAAAAATTCAGAACAAATTTCGAACGTGGTGCAAATATATATAATTAATTGTTTGTTATGGTTCAAAATGTCCAAGATTTATCCATCCTAAGAATGGTGCAGGTAGATATATATGTTTTTCATGGATTCTAGGGATAGAATTGTTCATTGTAGATTTTTTTTTTTAATATAATTATTCTCATAGCTTATAATAAACTAGTTTAGGTCTAACATGATACGTAGAAAATAATAAAATATTAAGATTTTCAATTTTGATAATCTGTGTAATTCACAATTAATCCACATTTTATGTTTTATATTTCACAATTAAGAATTTCAAAATTGATCCATATTATTCATAAACCTTATAACTATAAAACACACAAAAAATGGTTGTTTTCTAATTTAGATTATTATAAATCTTACATAGATTTTATAATTTACATTTTTCTATTATAATTTTAGTTTCTTTTTTCTGTTATTTTACTTTTTCTATTTTGGTAGTTTACATTTAAAAAGTATAATTCTGCTTGTTTCTTTTCTATAAATAAATAATTAAAAGTAGAAAAATTTACATTATTACATTAATACATGTCGTCATTTATAAGATATAAATTAACGATTACATATGTTACGATCTCGTGAATTATAGTAATCTTATGTGTTACGCTCACATTAATTAAACGATTCGGCTTTATATAAGATTGTAATATTTCAGACGAAAAATATCACATAAGTTTATGAAACATTGGGTATTTTTGCAATTTTAAATAATTCACGTTCAGAAAGGTATGATTTTTTTGTTTCAAAAAATTTACCAGAAAACTACAATTTCTCAACAAAATACCCAACCTAATATTTCAGTGCTATTTAATACATCATGTTTCATAATTCTCTAGTTTTTCCCCTGGAATTTAACGATTGTTAACGATTTAAAAATAACGTTTAATTGCTGTTAATTTTAGCTACCAACAAAATTTCGTAAAGTTATCTCAACTATTTTTGTTGTGCTTAAATACTGCGCAAACGTTTTCGATGCCTAAAAATAAAAATACTCAAATTAATATTTGTGTGCTATTTAACACATTATGTAATTTTTTCGGTTCCTTCTGTCCCCCCCCCCCTCCTCGTAAGTACACTACCATTGACGGCTTATTGTTAACCGATATTACATCTAATTAACATGTGACTAACTGGTTACTGTAAAAATCAACTGTTATCCTCTGATTACTCAGATAAGTTTTTCCTGAATTAACTTGATATCGATAAAACTGTAACTTTCTATTCGCTTTGACATCTTCATCTTTCATCGTCAAAAGTAGTGGAAAGAAGTCAACGTTCAGGTTCGGATACGAATTATGGCCATGCGACCTACATGCAGACAAAATGTAAATGGTATGTGGTCAGGCGAGCTTGGGCATGCTAAATGTCAACGGTCTACGGATAGGCGAGCTACGAGCTACGGATAGGTCGATATTGAGAAGAAGAGAAGAGAATTGAGGCGAAAAAATAAAAATAATGGTTTTCTTGATCTCAAAACGAATAAAAAAATGTATTTAAATAAGCTGAGGGTAATAGTAGATTATCTAAGTAATCATGTGTTAATTATTATTAACATCAGTTAATAATTTCATTTAGTCTGTCAACAGTTGTGAACTTTTGTTGAAATTAAAGAAACTGGAAAAGTATAAAACTGGCGTATGAAATCTAACCAAAATATTAAGTAGGATGTTTTTTAGGCAACAAAAATAGTTGATATATTTTTAAAGAATTTTTCATAACTAAAACTAATAGTGGTTAGTGATTACGTTTAAGTCATTAGTGCGTTCGCAAGAAAAATTTTGTTTTTTTAATCTAAATTTTATAATATAATTTATATTTTTTAATAGATATAATATTTTTTAATAAATCGTATAATTTATTTTTGTGTTTAAATAAAATTTATTTTTTAAAATTTATTTTTCTTATAAATTTGAGCAAAATTATAAAAACTTATTTTTAATCCATCTATTCGATTAATCCGAAAAAGACTATAAATATGAAAACATAATTTTGCGTTATTCATATTACCATATAATATATATTTTTAATTTTAAATATTTAAAATTTTAAAATAATTGATTATGTAAAAAATATATAATAATAAATCATTTTTATTTTTATTATTATGAGAATATTATTTAAATTACGATATTTAAAAAGAAAATAAGTTAATATTTTATTTACTATTTTGTAAAAACAATAACAATTAATTTTTGTAATCTCGATAATTAATCCTAACTATATCTAAAAAATATAAACTAATTGAAATAAAATTTAAAAAATTCGAAATTAATTTTAAAAACAAAATTCAAATATATAATTTTATTAATTTTTAGAAATAAATAAAACAGATAAATAAAATAAAAAAATTTTTTGCAACAGAAATAGTAGATATCCAGAAGTAGAATAGTAGAAAATTTAAAAAAAATATATGTTTGGACACAAAACATGTTTCTGTTTTAATAGAGAAGATGGTTGTTAGCTT